TTTATACACATAATGTGCCTGGCTGGACAAAAGTTGGACCAATTGGTTTCAATAACTAAAGTCTTATACATGAAATGAATCTGTCAGTGAATTTGGTCTATCTGAGTGTTCAATCCTATTTTGGACTATCGATCTTAAGATGATGCAATTGTTATTACATTTCCCACGATTGTTATTACATTTCCCTCCTGGAAAGATAATAATGTACCAGAACGTTACTGGTGCATTAACAAACCAAAATTGCATGCTATTAAACTGCAATAAACCATTGGCTAAAAAGAATATTGATTTTATTTATTGGTAAGTGTAAATATGACAATGAAAATTTGAGAACATACTTTACCTTTTTTTAAATTAGTTGATGACTCCTGAGTTCCTAAGGGACATTCATCATATGCAGTACTACCTATAATTATAAACAATTGAATGAGCACGAGAATTGTGTTATAGATCTCAAATCATAAGCTTTCAAAGCATACAGTTATCTCAAGTATAGTGTATATTGCATATTCAGATTGCAGGTACCAATAAAGCCATTAAGCTGGCAGCTTTCAATTCCAGAAAATAACATTTTTACCACTAATGACATATTTGACAAAAATAGAGAATTAAAGATATCATCATGAAATGAACAAATCTGACAGAGGTTCATCCAAGGTACCTTTATACTAAGTATCAATGCAATCATTAACCGAGAATATTATCATATTCTTCTTGTACCCGTTACATTTTAAGCATTGGTTTGATATGTTTGTATTTGGGCCGTTGGCCTAGGAAAGCAAAAATAAATACTTATCAATGCAATTGATCTGGCAGTTTTCAAGAAGAAGAAATGGACGACAACAGGCAATCGCCTATATGAACAGCTCACTCTGTCATCTACAATGTCAGGGGAGCTAAAATTAGAGAATTAACATTATCGCAAAATTGACTGGTATAAGACTGGTACATTGACAAACCCAAATGACATGCTTTTAAAACTGCAAAAAGCTATTAGGCATAATTTTCTGCACTTGACTGTACAGATTATAAGTATGAAATTTGGTTATATAAAAAACCTCAAGCAGGCCAATGTGAAAACGAACATTTACAAAATACTATAATACCATTTTAAGATATTATTGTTACAATTACTAGATACTAGAATTGGGATTAAAGGAAGAAATGCATACACAAGGATTTTAATCTCCCTGGCCTCCAAACAATGAGTGTTTACCTCCTGTTTATTTTGTTATCATCATGCAGGTGTCAAGGTTCGTAACCCCCTAACTTACAACTATGTATGTCTGTCTCTTGTTTCTCGTGCATTAACAATGAGATCAATTACGATTAAGGCAATGAGCATTAACAACAGTACTTACCTAATGATACTTCCTGAATTCCAGAAGCAATATCATCAACAGATGTAGTACTACCTATAAGAATAAACAAAATTATCATATATTGAATGGTGACAAGAATAGTGTTATAGATCTCCAATCATAATCCTTTCAAATCATACAGTCATCACAATTTATTTGCATGTTGCAACACATTCAGTTTGCAGTGGATTAGGCTATAATTATACTTTTACTGTCAATAAATTTTTCACCAACTATAATTTACATGCACATTGATGAAATAATTAATTTAAGAAATTGTACATACGAACAAATGTTACAACAGGAAACAGAGTTCCAACCCATGATCATGGCAATCGCTTCATTACTTTAAGCAGACATGCTACACACCATTCCACACTCACTGTGCTAGATGATAATACACAAGTCGAATCTCATACATTGCATGCAACATATATAGTTAGCAGCTATGTATGTAATCATGGATTGAATAATTTACTTAGTTACGATATGTAGTTACGAAATATGTACAGTTGTTTTTTGGCAAAAAAACTTTCAAAATGATTGCTTGATTTCAATATGGTGGAAAACTTCATATAGTGATATAAATTTTAGTCACTGAACTTCCAAATGTCACACATATGCTGTATCAAAAGTTTAGGTTCCAAAAGCACATATGAGTTAGAGCAATAGATAAATGCTAAATAAATTCACATGAACATGTAGAATAAAAAAAGAACTTGTTGTTTCCCTACCAGTTTTTAAAAAAGCTGTGAAACATCAAAATAGTGAAATGAAACGCCGAGGAAAATACATGGTTTTACAGTGTATAGAAAATCAGGTCAAGAAATAGAAATATATGGAAAGATAAACAAATATTTTTTTCTATATAAATATGTGCTTCCAAATGAATATGTACCTTGTGATTGTGGTAAAGACTTCACTTTTTCAGCAGCATTCAAGAATTCCATCTCAAATAGCTTGTCATGTAAAATTGACGCTGTATCCTTTGATCCACATCGTCTCATCCATAAATCCAACATTTTATATTTCTGAGTTTCAGTATCATGTGGATTATTATTCATAATTGTATCAATCTCAACTTCGGTCACATCAAGAGTACGACAAAAGGTTTTACATTCTGCCAATTTTAACTCTTTACAGATAATTGAGATAGCTTTACTCGTCATGTCGTCTAGTGAGCAAAAATAATAAATCGATGCAATTAAGACCATAGGGCAGTTCATGCCGATTTAAAATTCGTATATGATGAGTGTATATGCAATGGATTACTGAAGTGAATTTCCAATGTGTGTAACATAGAAAACAATTATCACACTGGACACTGGTGTGTCAAAATTGTGTTCATTCCCAGTATCCTTAATGACATTCACCCATAATAATGTCTTCTACTGAACCAAAATAATAAATAATGATGCAATTAAAACCATAAGGCTGTTGAAATCGATTTCAAATTGTGCACTACTGAGCATGATACTGAGTGTATATGCAATGGATTACTGAAGAGATGTTCCTATTGTATAGAAAACATGGACATTACAGAATCTGGTGCATATTTTTATTTTTCATTACGATCAGTATAGTTTTCAGTATCTTGCACAAAATAAATACAGTTTCAGAACTAGTTAACCACAAAGCCGGTGTTGACGTTGGTTTCATTACAAGGCACAAGTATCATTATGGGAAAATTATCTGTTTAAAAGACTATATGAAATTAACATCAATAAATGAAGTTTGCATAAGATTACTGAATGTAGTTTGTATAATAGTGAACTGAAATAGTCAAAATATGTGTGGTGGAACAGGTGTTAATATGCCTAATGCAGCGAACGTGGTAAATTTGCAAGTATCTTTGTCAAAGGCCGATTACACTGATTTAACTGAATGTGAGCCGATGATGGTTTGATCAATTAAACAGGTGAATGGTTTCACGAATCGAGAGGACTTCTGTTTTAGAGATGGCATTGCGCTGAATCTAGTTTTGTTGCATTCATAGCTTTTTATCTCATGCGGGCCTGATAACCAAATGTGAATCCTGATGGGAGAATGCAATTAGAGCTGTGTGTTGTCTGTATACTGATAGAACTGTAAGTTGTGTTGACGAATGAGCTTCCCTGACAGCGATATGTAGATAAATAGAAGAGGAGCATTGAAAAACCCATTTGACTTGCTTTTAAACTGCAATAAACGATTGGAAATAATTTTCTGAATTTGGTTGTACAGAATATAAGGCATGTTTGAAATTTAATTACATGTCTATAAACAAGTGTCATGCCTTCTGTTACGATTTTACACAACTGATTGAAAGTGACCACATTGAATTCATGCCTCTCTTCCAAGTTAGTGAACAACATGTGTGGTATATTTCAGTAGGCCTTCATAACATAAAGTGAACCCCATCTCAATACATGCCTCTCTGGAATACTAATTTTCAGATGACATAGCCGAATCTTGTTAAAATGTGTGGAAATGCTCACTTTCTAATATACATTTCTCATCTCAGAAAAAGTACTTACAATCTATCAATTGACAGACACAAATTAGCCCCAAACCCCTTTCAAAAAAGGAATACGTGAACAAAGTTTACAAATGGATATTGAAATTGAGTTGCATTTTATCAACCTAAAAAATGTTTATTATATATGAAATTGTCAACTGGACTATCAGATGGCTTTCAGATGTTGAGTAACATCAAAGCCCATTTATTATTAAACAACTTAAGGAATGTGCATTACATAACTTTTGAAAATAGAAACAAAAACGATTTAGTCCCACTAACAAAGGTCACATCTATTATATGAATATTAACAAGAGATTTGATCTATCTGTTCAGGGAAAGGAGGTCAACTTGTTTCTTGTATAAACTGTCATTACACAAAATAGATGAAGATGTCAGGTTGAACAAGTTCCAGACCCTAAATTGCAGTCATAGATAAAATACGAATGGTGCATTGACACACACAAATCCATATGCATTTAAACTGCATAAAACCATCGTTTATTGTACTCGGATATAATCAGTCATTTTTTATTGATTTTTGAGAAATGTTTGACCAATGCAATCAAGTATCATAAATTTAAGCTTAGGAGTACAGGTAGACGGGCAAAGTCGGGACTTCTTTTTTGTTTTACAAAAAAAATATAATTAATTATCAATTTAGCATTTTTAACGCGATCGCGACACCCTGCGTTGGAGTGAAAACCGGAGCGGAATCACTCCGGTGATTATGCTAAATAAAAGATGTTGACTAGCATTGACCACGAATCAAAGTGCAGCTGTATATCTATGTTAATGTACGTGACCTTTCACTTCTGAGGTCCCGGCGATTTTGAAAGACTACTTATATACATTGGAAATTTAAATCGACTTGTTTTCAGTAAACATGGATGAAAGTATCGCCGTTGCACTTAAAAAAGTTAAAGTATCCATCTCTGCGATCGAATCAAATCAATCTTTAAAAGGTCACGTTTACTTTCACACACCCACTCATGAATAATCAATGACATCATGAATAATTAATATCAGTCAAATGCCCGCAGATGCGTCCAGTCGGGATTTCTTTAACGGTCTAGAAAAACAATTAATTATTTCTTTTCGTAAAATAAAAAAAGAAGTCCCGACTTTGCCAGTCTAGGGTACAGGAAGATATGTCTCTCCAAAGTAACTAATTGGGACATATATCTCTCAGTTGCAGTTAATAATTGTTTGTTATTATCTACAAACGACGACTGTCTCATATCTACGTTGTGGTATTCCCATTACCTCATAACACTAGTTTACAATTATATTACCTGTGTCACGTGATCCTTGTGATAGTCCAGAATGGTGTTCTTTACTACACGCTCCCTATGTGACATACATATAAATATAAAAGTCAAACAATTAATGAAGGTTTAGATCGATATATGAACAAACTAATCTTTTTCACTGTTTATACTTAAACTTATAACAGTTATATTTTGAGATTGTTAATGTTTATTGCTGATATACATGTAGCTAACACGGATTAACAATTGTTCACAGCATACTGATTTTTCTAAGTATATATTAATCATAGCACTACATAAATGGCTAACGGCTAATTTGCAAACAAGTGAACAAGTTGAAGCTGACTTTATTCAGATAATCACATGCACCCATACCCCGCAAATATATATATATATTTGGAACTCATGAGATGTGTGTGAGCGTGACGAACATTAATACACAATTTGCTTATTTTGTGATGTGATGTCAAACAACCAATTACATTTACATAGCCTTTAGGTGCGTGAATATATCGAAACTGGAAGAAATACAAAATATGGATTTTCGTAACATTGCTTTAGTATTAGGCAAACGTAATGTCCATACACACTCCAACACAAACAACAGCACCAAACCTCATGTAATTGGATCTTAGAACATAAAGTACCCAGCACCATAAAAATGTTAAATTAACTGAAACGTTACTGTAGTGATCTCAATATGAATGGTCTGTTAGACCAGGTGTCATTATTATGTAACAATGGTTAAAGTATATAAAGCCTGGACTTGAATAAACACGTGTCAGTATTATCAGCACTCAGTGTGTGTCGTGTCTCATCTCTTGTCTCTCTCCTACCAAATGCTACACGGACGTCTCAAGATATTACATTGGCGACGAGGATTGTGAGCCCAACAGAAACTACTACTTCTCAGTAGAAGACATCAGGTTGTACGAACTTGTTTGCGAATTTTCACTCGTATTTCGTTGGACTGGTGTTCATTATGGCAGCACAAGCAGGTTTTACGTTTTCCCAGTTATCTCCGTTTGACATCCATGGGGACACTAGTACATTAGCACCACGTTGAAAACGAAAATATCTGTGTAGCCTGGAAGAGAACTGACCCAGAGCAGAAAAGAGCTATGCTTTTGGACCGAGGTGGCGACGACTTGTTATTGATCCTAAATATGACAACGCTTACAAGAAACTGATTAAAGCATTAAAAGACTACTGTCTTCCCAAAAAGAACACAGAGTTTGAAATTTATCAGTTT